TGTTGTTGGAAGCATATTTGTTTGTTTTATAATTAGTCCAATTTGCTTTTTTGTAATTAAATTTGTCAGTTACAATTGATTTATTAGTTTGGGGGGAGAGATTGAAAATACACCAAACCGGCAAGTGGTCACTGTCTATTTCTTGTCCTACTTGAAATTGTTTAAATGTTCGACTTATATCAGACGAACATATGCAAGTTATCCATACTTATCAGCATTCTTTGATTTTCTAGGGCGACATGGTGCACTTAAAACACTTCTATACCACCACAACATTCGAAATGAAAGCAAAAGCAATGAACCAGCTTCTTCAGGTTTGTTATTTTCCATATTTTTAACTGCAATTCTAATTTTTGTTGTTGTTATTGTTTTTCGTTCAAGACCGACTACTCCATAATATGTATCCTAAAGCTCGTTTCAACACCCATTTTCTTCAGGATAGTGTTTTCCATTTCATTATCAGCGATAGTTATTTTATTGATTATTTTTCATTCAAGACTAAGTATTCAGTTCGGTAAACACAGAACGAAATCATATCGAACAGTATGGTTACGTTTTGAAATATATTAGAATTCTTCATAATATTGCTCCAAAGTTTTTGGATAAACTTACAAATTATTCATTATATATATATATATATATACTAAATAGGATCTTTAATTCTTAAAAAACCAACGAAATGCTTTGACTTTTTTAAATAAATACACATTTATTATTTAACCATTCTCACGCAGTTGTTCTGGAGGTATGAGAGCTTGAAAGCAATAAAGCAGTAATTAATTATTAACTAGAATATTAGTGTTACTTGTTATCTATTAAAAATTCATAAGCTGTATATCACAAGAATTACCCTTAAGATATAATATACTAGATATACTGGTATTGCAGGACTATACATAATTAAAGCACTCTCAAGCCTGTCGTCTTGTCTCTAGAGGTTAAACAGTGAACAATAGCCAATAAGTACTTGCTTTTTGAAAAACAAAAAAGTTGGATCCTCTAGAATTCAATGAAACTCTTATTTCAGATTTATAGAATGACTTATTATCTTATAAACTACATTTTCTTTATAACTTGAAAATTCAGGCTAAAAAATAAACTGTGACAAAACTTGAAAAACAAATTATTTATTCTGAAGTAGAAGATCTCTCTGAGCTACTAAACCCTCTAAAGTAAAACAATTTTATAAGATATGGTTCGCAGAAACAAATGTGCTATAGCAGAATGTTTTTTACAACAATCTAAACTGAGAAACTGTAAAAATTTCTTTAAAAAAAAACATGAATTTTTGTTAATCATTGGAATAATTCCAGATAAAAATGAATAACAATATACAGAATCGAACGAACATTTGTGGAGACATCTTTCTTTTTCTTCTTGTTTTTCCTAATCTAAGTTACCCATTGTGTACTTAGAGTAGAACTTTATGTTCTAAAGTTTAGCTTATTTTTCCTTATTTAATATAATGACACCTAGTCCTGGATAGATTACGACTTGTTAATCTTTATTTAGCTTTGTTGATTTATAGGTCTACTTAAGAGCAGGTATAATTAGATTTGTCAGATTAACAGAAATATGATAATACTGTTCACTATCTTATGAAGTACTTGAGTTTATAGTAATATGTTCGCTGGAGTCTAACTATTAAATATACATAATGTTAGAAACCAGATAATTCATCCAAAAGCTAGCACGTTACGAAGGTGTTTGTATTTAAGAGGAAATATTAACTTGTATGTATTACTTACTGACCTTTATAAAACTTTCATATTAAAGTGCTCCTTTCTACGTTGTAGAATTAGAAGCGTTTCAGGCAGATTGATAAAAAAAAACTAGTTTACTAGAACTCTTACTTATCAATTGGAGTAAAAATCATACGAAAAACTATTCGGATAAGGAACGGAACACTCGCGCCATATTCGATGCTGACAACAGTCTTGTGCTAAGCCAAGGGAAATGATATTATTATAACGGTTGACAAAAACTTCAGTTAAAATTTATATTTTTTTCTTTTTCTCCTAGATTTATGAGTTGCGTCACGAAAACATCAATCCTTTCTTGGGGTGTCTGTCCGACCCTCAACAACCTGCCCTTGTGTGGGAGCACTGTTCACGTGGAAGTCTAGCAGACGTTCTGGCTAGTGAGGATATTACACTGGACTGGCCATTTAAATTGTCTCTGCTTACAGATCTAGTTAGAGTAAGTCTTATTAGGACCTTATATTCTAAAAATTCAGTTGATTTTTTTCTTGTTTAACATTTTCTTAGCTATACTGATCTCTAGATCTACTTAATAGCAAGTTTAATTAGAACGTACTATAACCTATACTCTAGTTGGAAAAATTTCTTTTAAAACCTTCCGTTATCTATGAAGCTGAATAAGGTGAGTCGTATTTATCTTTAGGGCTAAGTTGAACTGATTGAAACCAACCTTATTGTTTATCAGCTTATGGAGTATACTGTTTAACTTTGGTTTAGCGTCAGTTTTGTTATGATCTGTAAATGTAATAAAAATAAAAATCTTGTTTGAGTTTATAAATCTATAAAAACATTTGGAAGAGATCTTAGTAGGAACCTATTAAACGTAATTAAAACACTGAGCATAAAATCTGTTCAGCCATAGAACCTGTATATCTTGTTAGTATAAGCCTTTTTGAAATGTACTGTAATCTATAACTTTAGTTTGAGTAACATTTTTAAAAAACCTCATGTATTAATCTTTAGTCAATATTATCCAGCTTCAAACATGTTTGTAATTATTAAGAACAAGTCTCAAAAGTTTTGCTAGTAAGGCTTACTTTACCTAGTATTATAACATATTTTAGTGTCAAAGAAATATTATAGATTTCCTAACTGTCACACGGGGTGAGAAATAGCCTCCAAAGTCCTATAATTTCCTCATGTGATTTGTCAGCTTTAGAAGCAGTGTTAACTGTTAAACTAGTTTTAGTACTTTAAAAAAAATTATTTTCTGCTTTCAAAAATCCACGATGTACTAGTTAAATTTATCTGCGTTTATTTATTTAGGTTTAGCTTAATTTTGCAGTTGTGAAGTGTAGTAAATAATTCAACTCCGGTTCAGTTAAAAAAAATTATTTAAGGAAATTTTATTTGTTTTAATTACCGCTTCCCATTTTTTTCTATAAACTGTATCTTTTTTTTTTCATTCGTCTTCGTTTCCGGTTTTACAATAGTTACCTTGATCCGTTAGCATTTGACGTGTTTGCTTTCGTCTTCACTCTGAAACGGATTTCTCTTTGATTTATCCAGCGACATATCAACACACACTCGTTCTTCTGCCTTCTGGGCCCTTGAACTTCCTGTTATTACGCAGATAATGTAAAATAATAATAATAATAAGCCTTAAAAGGGATTTTATACAACAGGTTGGTTTCATTAGGACTAACTAATAACTATTTTATAAGTTAGATATAATTATTTTACAGGCCTGGTTAAAGTAAGTCTCATTAGGATTAGTTATAATATTGTTACGTCTCTGCTCGTTTGTTAATTTCCGGTATAAATTCTTTCCGAGGAACTTCAGCGATACGAGTCCTTTCTTAACTAAAACTAGTTTATTCTTTCTCGATACAACTTTGTAATACACAGAATTTCCACAATCACTTTAAACTTAACTGCCCCCCAGTGGCACAGCGGTATGTCTGCGGACTTACAACGCTAGAAACCGGGTTTCGATACCCGTGGTGAGCAGAGCACAGATAGCCCTTGTGTAGCTTTGTGCATAATTAAAAACAAACAAATTAAACTTAACAACCTTTATAACACACGATATAAATCACAGTGATTTACACACTTTTCTTACGGTGCCTACATTTCGCTTGACTCAGTTATCTATCTCTGTATCTATCTATATCTCTTCCATCGCGCTGGTTTTTCTCGCCAGGCTTATATAGTAAAAAAAAGCGCGCCTCGAACAAACTCGGACCTCCCCAATAATTCATGATCCTTCGAGAAACTCCAGCGCACATGCTCCCAGCGTCACGCGACTTCCGCTGTCGTAAAAATATGTATTTTATAGGTTAGGTATAATAATTATCTCATAGGCCTGATTAAAGTAGGTCCTGTTAAAACCAGCAACAGTAAATACTTTATAGAAGTGGTTAAAGTGAATCTTATTAATACTAGCTCTAATAAATACTCTACAAACCTGAATGGAGTTTGGCTCGCTTAAACAAGTTATGATCTATATTCTAGATGAAAATTGTTTGATCATCATCGTAAGACCTCTAGATCTACTTGCATTATATTTAGATGATTTATGCTCTGAAAATTTAAAATTGAATTGAATGTATCTGCTGAGAATTTTCTGTTGGTTTCCTTGTTGCAAAATATCCCATACAGTTTTATTGTCGGTATTTTATGCTTCTGTTAAAGACATATTTCTTTAAAGTTGTTTGCAGGTCAACGTTTACAATGATTGCAATCTATTTATATAGTTTTCTAGGATCTAAACTTACATTTTTATACTAAATTTACTAGAGCTTTTTCTGTTGTGACTATAAAATATATACAATGTTCATTTTGCTTTATATTCACGGATTCTTTTAGGGTATGAGATATCTTCATTCTTGTCCACTGAAGCATCATGGGAACCTGACATCAAAAAACTGCGTCATTGATAGCCGATGGGTGTTAAAGATAACTGATTATGGTCTTCCGTTGTTTTTTGAAGCTCAAAATTTACCCCCCGCTCCTGTAACAGCTAAAGGTAAATAAACTGTTACAATATTCGACTTAATAACTGCAATTAAAAATTTATAGAGAAACTTATTTTAAGCCGCATAAAATATAAGCATTCATCTATGATATTTCATGCTTAAAAATCAAAAATATATTAAACATTCTATTTTATAGTTATTAAAATATGTGTAATCAGTATTTCACAATACTTTACAATTACACACGTTACGTATTAGAATTTCAAATAGCCTAAAACTGAGTTAAATTATAATTTAGATTTAGTAGTTAAATATATGCCGACATATCTTCAATTTATGATATTTACCAACAAGATTAATACACACAGATTTCTTTTTTAATACAAATATGTTTTAATATACAAACAACAATACAATTTACAATAACAATTATTACAAATAGTTATCAAAAACAATGATTTATAAACAAAAGTTTCACAAACTTACAAGCAATATAAAGTCTTCTTTCTAGTCTGGAACTTCCTTGATATCATATTGAAGGTTCACGATGAGCGAGCTAATTACCAGTTGATGTAGTACAATTCGATTATATCTGAAGTTTCCGATTAATAAGCGCTAATCACAGTTATATTTATAGCTTCCGAAGTTTATAGCACACTGATTGTAGCAAACTAATAATAGATACTCTTTCTTTTAGACATGTCGCGTTGATTATATTTATAGGCGTCTGTAGAGTTTCTCAAAAATTCAGATTACGTAACGATACAAAGCTATATCAGCGTTTACGTACACATATATATTGTTGATTCTTACACACGAGAATCATTTACAACTTTAGAGAATAGGCGGGAATTTCGCAATACATATTTAACAGTATAATTTATGTACATTTCTAAATATAAATTCAATTTAAATAAACATCGATATTAGAATAAATATAGAATAATAAATCCGTCACACACACAATAAGCATTTGGCCAATTTTGAGCTGTTCTTTAGCAATCAGTTATCCACACCATTTCGCAACTATAGTTTATTAATCAGTTATTCACAGTAACTTACATTTTAAAACTAATCAATAAACAATCTATTAAAGGTTAAAGAACGAAAACAACCACTAAGTGACTATTTGTTTCGTGAATTGGATGAACATATATTATTTACTAGCGTGACACATTTAGGTAAGTAATTAGCAAATCACTGTTACAGATCGCTATGTTTGTTTATGCCCGGCATGGCCAGGTGGTTAGGGAGCTCGACTCGCAATCTGCGGGTCGCGGGTTCGAATCCCCATCCCACCAAACATGCTCGCCCTTTCAGCCTTGGAGGCGTTATAATGTGACGGACAATCCCACTATTCGGTGGTGAAAGAGTAGCCCAAGAGTTGGCGGTGGGTGGTGATGACTAGCTGCCTTCCCTCTAGTAGCATTGCGCGAAATTCAGAAAATATAAATACATATGAAACATATAATAGGACTACAATAACTGTAATGGGGTGTTAATAATCATCATCGCGAAGCACTGTAGAAATTATTAATGTTACAAATTCGCATCTTAACAAGAAATAAAATATTTTTTTACGTAGTATATAGACGTATTAGACATTTTCTGACTTATATTTAACTCTTACACTAACAAAAATGTAAAATATTCATTAATATAAATACATAGAGATTTAACCCTAGAACTTTGGTCAAGGAAGTGGCTGACTTCCTTTCATCCTAATTACTTGTTTTTCTGGATCATTCATCTATAGAGTCATATGAGTTTTCTCACTGGGAAGATTGCTGCAAAGTTTAAAAAGTGGTCAGCGATTTTTTTTCCACAGGCAGGTCAGGTAATACCTTGAGAATACAGCCTCCTTTATTTTTGGTTGGGATTAACCAACAATGTTGTAGGTAGCACATGAGCCCTGAAAATAATAACATTGTGGAATATTGTACGTAATGATATAATTTTTAAGCCTAGAAAGAACAGATTTTGAAGTTCTTCGTACAGGTTTCTGAAAAAAAAACGAAAAAAAAAAACGGTAGAGCTGCCGTTTTCCGTTTATACATTCATCATTTTGATTGTAATTGAGTGATGAATATAAATTCCTTTCGGTCTGTTTTATATTGTGTTCAGTCACTTTTTACTCCAAAAAGTAGTCACGATCAAAGGAATTTATTTTAACTGCTCAAAACGTTAAATGTCGAACCCCTTGATATTTGAGGCTTCTATCAAATCCAAGTCCCGAATGTTTTTTCTTTACATGTGCTCGCAAGTCTTTGAACCGTGCAAAGGCCACATATAGCTTTTTTTCTGGACATTCTAGTTAAAGTTGCACTGAAACTAATCATCATACAAAACAGAAATTGTAGTTTAAACGAAAAGCCCTGATTTCACACAGACCTTGGTTGACTATTAGGCAAATACAATTTTTTCCATAGTGGACTCTAATTGGTTGTCACCGAAATACCTCTATCTACCAGTACCAAAACACCTCTCTTGTGTTTTGAGAGGTTTTATTATAAGGTCGTTTCGTATATAGACACTTCTGAATTAGGCCATTTCAAAGCTTGGTGGTGCACTTCTCATCACTCCTCATATTTCACCGACAGATCGCTAGGACTCCAATGAAGATGGGCTTTACAGAAAGAAAGAAGTTGGAATATGATTTTCAACGTATTTGTTTTCATAAAACGGATACCTTGAAGATGGCGCCCATTTACGTGTGGCAGTATCATGATGCAGTAGAACCAACAAAGAATGGTTTAAAAATGTACCTTAGAGCAATCTTAACCTTTTATAAATGCTGCAATATCAATTTTCCTAAACCCATGAAAGATTTATCAGACCCTTTAGGTCACACGAATATTTCGCATGGTAATCTCCTCTCTCACAAATTCATTGGCCCGGCATGGCTAGGTGGTTAAGGCACTGGACTCGCAATCTGAAGGTCGCGGGTTCGAATCCCTGTCACACCAAACATGTTCGCCCTTTCAGCCGTGGGGGCGTTATAATGTGACGGTCAATCCCACTATTCGTTGGTAAAAGAGTAGCCCAAGAGTTGGCGGTGGGTGGTGATGACTAGCTGCCTTCCTTCTAGCCTTACGCTGCTAAATTAGGGACGGCTAGCGCAGATAGCCCTCGTGTAGCTTTGCGCGAAATTCAAAAACAAACAAAAAGAAAAAACACAAATTCACAGGGTTGTTTGTTTGTTTCTTAAGCACAAAGCTATACAATGGGCTATCTGTGCTGGGCTTACCACGAGAATCTAAACCCGCTGAGTCAGCGGGGGGTAATTCATTGGGG